GTATTCTTGAAAAGGCCCTTCGGAAGTCGAGTTGCATCGGTGGACAAACTCTTCATTCGCCTGAAAGCTGTTCAGCAAGAGGAGAATCTCGCACAGGAGAGTCACACCCCAGTTTTCGTTCTGAAAGTGCTGAAGATTTATCGCATGTCGATGTAAAGGATATGGCAGCTAAGAAATCAAAACACACTGACGAGACATAAAGATGGAGGAGGAAAAAAATCCCATAGCTTTCTACTCATGCTTTCGCCTTCCTAGTTAGCAGATGTGCTAGCTTTTGCTTGGCGTTCATTTCGCAGGATATGTTGTTGTACCATAGCAAAGTAAAACTAGAAAAATGCCAACTTGTAGGATTATGTTTATTCAACATTCTTTAAAAGAGATTCAGTTGAACTTGATATTTATTAATGTTATCGTTTCATGTCCCCTCATTCTTTAGCCAAGTTTCATGATATCTTCTGGAATGTCTGTCTTGCTCACTTTTTCTTGCCTTGGCAGGCTGATTACAAATATGAGCAGTAAACGTCCTTGAAAGAATTTGGAGTATTTTGAACCCATCAGTGAGATATGGAGCCGGGCATAATGTCTCCTGAATTTTTCATTTCGAATATTTTCCTTCTGTTTTGTTTTACTATCTATTACCAAGTCCGTCTATTGTGAATTCCAAGCAGATAGTCTGTAACTGTAAATTGAAGGGAAATAAGCTCATGGATATTTGGCCTCTCCTCTCTCAAACAAGAATCTCAGAGAAGTAATCAGGGAAATCGAACTTGCTGGAGATTACCGTGGTCTTTTGAGATGTGTGTCTTTCTAGGCGGAAGACTCAGGGGAAGGATGGAAGATTGTGGGGACCAGTTGGTCAAATGCTATCACGTCACGTTGACGAAGAGTCGGGTCAGAAGTTCCTTCAATGGTCATGCAACTCCTTGTAGTAGATTTGTCTTCGTTTTATACAGTGTAGCGATGTCTTTAAATTATTATCCCTTTCCTTGAAGTCAACATGCTAATAGCTTCTGTTTTGAAACCGAAGGACACTTGCGTAAGAGTTTTTATGATGTTGAGAACGATGTATCGAAGAGACTAATGTTGGGCGTCTTATTTCTGGAGTTTGCACCAAGGAAGCTTGTTGGGAATGAAATGGTGAGGATCTCAACTTGAAGATCCTTAGGAGTTAAAAGTCAGAATGGCTGGAGATAGTTGTCATTTGGAAGAAGTGATGTAAAGCATGGCGATCGAGGACGTCGATATACATTTGACCAAGAGATATCATCCGAAGTGGAGAGGGGCAGAGAGCGTTCTTTGTTTATTGGTCGGATTATTTTAAAGGCTGGTTTAGCTTTACCAATTACTATACATTGTCATGCCCTGCTGTTGTCGGCGGTCAGGTCTAGGTTGATAGCAAAAAGGGCGAAACGTTGATTTGAGCTGTAAACAAATGTGCCGAATGGTGGCCGCTCATATATCATACTTCGATACTGTGTTGACAGTAATCGTGTTGGTTTGTCCTAATACTTTGAATGTTTGCTTTGTCGACGTCAATTTTCTTTTTCGGCTCCAAATTCAGTAGACGGTAGAAAAAGTTTATGAAGTAAATGTCAAAATTATGGATAGCACGGCGCTTTACGTGAGGCCATGAATTCGGGCGAGAGTGTTGTCTGGATCGGACTTGTTCCAGTGCGGATAGGAAGCACTTTTTGTAGACAGCTGGATAAATACGTACTCGTGACGTCAGCGATGAAAGATGGGTGTTTACCAGTTTACCGCATAGATCTAGTCTACTCTATACTAGATCTATGCTGCATGTGTACTTGTCTTCCAGTATTTGTTCCATGTTCCATTATAATTTATACTTAAGCTAGTCCTCCGAATTACCTTTTGCATTCTGATTGCTAATGAACAAATTATTTTGTGCAAATGGTTTCACAACCAAGAACGGCAACTACATTATGAGCAAGACTAGTTTCTCGTCGTTCCTACAGATTTCCCAGAGTTTTGTGACCACGTTGTCCTAGTGTGACTCATTCTTACAGGCGCGCTTCCCGGAGTGCGAATAGAATTGAGCTCGAAAGCTTCAACAGACTCGTTCTCTTTAAGGTGATGTCGGTTGTATCTGTGCATTAGAGCTTGAAGCCCCGCCGATCAAAAGTTATCATATATGAAGAAGCCAAATAGAGAGTAAAGTTTCTTGAGGCAAAGTTAGTTTGATGAGGGTACCAAGAAATGGCGAAATAAGCAATGTACTTGAGCTACAATTAAGAATAAAATTCGGATTGTAAATCGCTTATATAAGGTGACTACAAAGTTAAGGATTACATATAAAATAGTTCTTGTTTTCATATCTTTCTAATAATACGTTTGTCGATTTTTACCATCTTGTAATATGTACTTCTTTCTTTTCTACATCTGTATATGAGGTTGTATTCAAATGTTACACATATGAGTGCGAATAATTATTGGGTTTTCCCATTCTAAAGATATTGTTCGAATTACATTTATTACTTACAGAATTTTCAGTTATATTCCTTTGCTATTCACTCAATCTGAACGTGATACAGCTCCTACAGACTTTCAATTTAATAGAAATGCTGAAAACGTCAGAAGTCACAAAACAAACGGAAAATTACAAAAATGATCACTCCCAAAAGTGATCAATATATTGATACCTTAAAAGGCTGAAAGATAAAAAAGTTGCTCCAACTCACATCCTTCAGCCCGGTTAATGAGAATTCAGATAGCTCTATTCAGACCTGATCTCAAACTATAAGATTCCACCTCATATAATTTTCCCATCTGGTGCTATAAGAGAAATAAACCTAAATATAATTTTAGGTATACTATAGTATACTTAGTCCATTGCGTCAATACTAATTCTTTTGAGGTATTCTTAATAATCCTTTTGACATGCTGGTATTATATTGCATCACCTCAATAAAATCCTAAACTTCAAATAAATATTCCAAAATTCATTTTCAAGAATAAAAAAAAAAGAGGGGAAGAAAAAATTATAGATTAATTTATTCAATTATACTCATCCTTGCACTTGATTTGATAGTTAGATTCATTTTCTATTCCAAATATATGTCTGAATATATGTTTGTTAGATAGGAATACCATTAGGGAGTTCACACGAGTGAATTGCGAGGGAATTTAAGCGCGCGTCTGGGGCGGCGGATTGAAGAATTGTCGAGAGAAAGTCGATGCCAAGAACTTGCCGAGCGGCCGGAGCAAGGGAAGCTAGCAACAATGTCGAAGCGTTGAACCGGAGGAGTTCCAGCAGGAAGAAGTGCGACGATGGGGAGAATTTGACCGCTTATTCTGATGGCGGATTGGACTCCAGCGGAGTTGCTGAGGTTGAAGAACCTCAGTGGAGCGTTTCTGTCATGGCGATGGGACTACGTGTGCCCGGAGCTGTGCGATGAAGTCCGGAGAGGGAAGCCGCCTCCTTTATCACCTCCTCCCTCTCGGTGTGATGATTGCATTTATAGCTTTTTTTTTTTGACTTTGATTTTAGCAATGTGAAAAAAAATTGGGAGGGGGCGTCCCCTCCAGCATCTGTTTTAAGCTTGTGTGTCTCTTCCACACCTTTCCTTCTTCTTCATCTATGTGCTTAAGCTTCTATGTTACGATTTTCAACCTTTCCTTGTTCATCTATGTGTTTTGCTTCTGTATTAGGATTTTGAGTTGAGCAATCTGGTCTGAGTGAGGTTGTTTCTTAACTCTATCCTCTTTACTTTCAACACTTCTTTTTTTCCATCTTCGCTTTCCTCTGGGCTTTTTTTCATAGTGATTCCTTTTCAGTGTAATACTCATTGTTTTCAACTTAAGCTCTAGTGTTGTTCTTGGGTCATTGTGGTCCGCTCACACATTCTTTCATGCTTATTTGACTAACTCTAGTGTGGCCTTCTCCTTGAGAAGGTCTCATTCACCTTAAAGTATGAGGTGTCACAACTAATATCGTGTCAAGTATATGATATGAGTCGGTTTGTGCTCCATCATTCTTCGTTTGTACATACCCTCCTAGCCAATCAACTCTTTGGGATACTTAGTATTTATCAAGTCTCGAATGTTTCAAGGTAGACTCTACTACTTGATGCCTCCTAAAATGTGGACCCGTCCTCATTGTTGACTCTCTCCATGTTTCTATTAAATCTAGCTTAATTTCTAGTGCATGCCATTTTTGCCTCTCCAATGCCACTTGGATTGAGGATTTTTTCCCTTATCAGCTAGAGACGTCACAAAATTCCAATCCCCTAACATATATATATATAAAATAAATATGGCTAGTGGAGAGTTTCTCCACTAGTCACCTCCATATTTTCATCTTTTTGGCCACCACATGTGGACCATGTATTGACGCAATTCCCACTTCTCTCATGGTGTTTCGTAGTTGTCTATCATTAGCTCAAACCGTTGTATGGCTGAAAAATTTGAGAGCCCATGCTCAAATATGGGTGGGATTATGGTTTCTAAGAAAGCTTGGAATGACTCTAAAAAGTATGCTTTGGAATGGAACAAACACACTAAGACCATAAGGAGGATGGGTCCAAGAAATTGGTGTAGAATCCAAAGCTCTAAAGCCAGTGAGAGTTCATAAGAGGAGGAGTATGTGTATAATACAATAAATACTATAGAAAATTCAAGGCAGTGATTCATGAATATGAAGCTTCTTAGGAAACCCAGGTCTGAAGGGCGGTAGACAGGAATGGTAGGCAAGAGTAATGAAGCCTCAAGAAGAGAACTAAATCGTAAATGTAAATAGAAGGGAATTATGACGGGAAAAGAGGTTAAAATCTAGCAAGGAAGGAATAATTTGCCAAGGATGGGGACAAAGTATAATAACAAAAGGGATGGGAAGATCCCATCAAAACGTACAAGGATGTAACCAAACCGGTAACATGGGGCTAGGCTCCAATAGTATCACACTAGGAAATATGTCATACGATCTCCCGCAGGTTTTATAAAGTTGCATTCTTACAAGAATTTATTCTATTCTTTCCAGGAGATTATGGAGACGATCGGATTTGAACCGACAGCTTTATGCTTGCAAAACATACGCTCTACCAATTGAGCTACGCCCCCATAAGGAGGAAATGGGAACACCTAAGATATCTGAACTATCTAAGTCAAACGGTCTACAAACAACAGGAGTATCTGAAGAAGCATCACCTAACGCGATTGCTCTCATATGGATTGCACGAGCTAGTACTTTCTGTAGAGCAATGGAAACACGTTGCCTAAAATAGACTATACAATAAGCTAAGGAGAGTGATACCCCATGTCGCCTAGTATGGTAGTATAATTTGACTACAGTTTAGTCATAGTACCACGGGTCATGTTGACCAGCAAGTGAAAGGTAACTGAGTAGTTTGCAAAGTAAAAAGTGGATACGTAGAAATTACATGTAGACTCACTACTATAAGACAAAATAGGAGCAGTCCTAAGACTCACTATCAAATTTTTAACACACTCGCACGGTAGCTAAGTGTACCCGGAGGAGGACAAGGCTAAATAAGCTATTGGAGAATATCCTATTAAAATGTTTAGTCTTACACATGTTCAAAGATATATTTTATAGATGGTTCGGAGTCACTACCGTGCTTAAACCCCCCAAAAAGAAAAAGTACTCTAATCTTCACTAGGATGGTGAAACCTCCAAGTGAAAACATGCTTGGCTAATTTTTTGGTTTTCATATTTCTTGAAATTACCGTCTTCAATCCATGTAGGGGGGAAATCTTTAATGAGATATGGAAGAGTGACAAGTAGGACGTCTATTAATGGGTAGGAGGGACAAGTTAACAAACAAGATATTTGTAACCTGCCTTCGCCATGTAAACTTCGTGAAGAACTATGAGATATCGTAATAATTTCCAATTATTCAAAACCTGCGACGCTAATAATTGATACTTTCAAAAGATGAGCGAACTACAAGACGAGACCTAGTTATAGGAGAGTTAGAAGTGATTTTTGCTGAATGCACGGGTAAAATGCTGCAAAATGTACCATTCTCGCACAGCAGTAGATTAGTGGGACATGCCACGTCATAGAAAACCCACACGACCTATGTTTCTCACAGCACGTACGTTGGAATTTACTTGATCTGATCGACGAGAATGATATAAAAGTAATCGAAGACGTATTATCGAATCCAAGAGTGATAGGGGTTGAGGATCCCGTCATAAGAGATGGTGAAGAAGCCCGAGTCTGATCTGGTATAAAGAGGGAAGGAGCTGAATTTGTAATGCCAACTCAATGCTGTGGAGAATTTGTAACTTTCCGCCATGGATCCAATTACTCATCGATACATGTCTCTCAATCACCAGTACTGAGCACATGCCATCGACTCCGATAAAGGTGGGCTCGATGAAGGTCAAAGACCATTGGAGGACCTAGTGTTCAACACGAATTCGATCGAATCCAAGTGACAACTCAAATGCTTGCGAACGTGAATGTGACCTGCTTGGCGAAGCTTCGAAGCCCGAGGCAATCAATGACACAGCCCACCTACACTACATACGACACGGGACATCAGAAGAGGTCACGGTAATCGGAGAATCATATCACTTCAGCAAGCTAAAAAGCTGTGTCAGGACTCGTTGCCCGTCTTACCACATCGGGTGAGTGCAACTGGGATGGATAAAGTGCATGAGATTTGACTGCTGCGTCTCTACGACGTTTAAGTCCCAAGAGAAGCAAGACAACCACGATTGAAGACATCTAATAATTCCCCGCCCATCTGTCACGTAGACGATGTCGAGCGAGAGAGGGAGGTGTGGAGTGGAGCGGGGAGAAACATGAGCAAGGACTATGAGTTTCCAGGCGCATGTGACATCATTAGCTGTGACTTTCTATGTGGGGAGGAAACCTCCGTATTTCAGCTGACGCCTCTCACCCAACAAATGGCCGGTTCAGTTATTTATTAATCTAGACACTCGTTGTTGTATATTAAGCAAGAATTTCGAGTGTGACGAGCTGTGTCAGAACTGACTTAACCTTTGAGTGCTAACCGCGTAATCCTTATCACTCGTATGCGACAACTGGCTCCTTCTCCTGTGCCCGTGTTAGCTCTTGGTGAGTTGCTATGCTTAGGGGGTGCTCATGGCTAAGGGTAGGATGAGGGTAGAGTCACGTCGCTCTGATCTCTCCGTTTTACGGCACCATTTTGCATCCATCCTAAACATGCAGGGGCATTTGTGCTCGTGTATTAAATACCATTAATTACTGGCTCTAGCAGGTTACCTGGTAAAATTTTAACCCACACTAAAAGGTTACCAACATGTGCTTTCTTAATATAGTTCGTATAAGAAAGGGTATTTTTCCGTCATTGTCAGATTTGTCACTCTCTTCATTAATTCTCCCGTTTTTCTTCGTTTCTGCTCCGGAGCACGAAGGCCGCATCTTCAGCAGCCGAATAGTTTGCTCGGTCACAGAGTATGGTTGGAACCTGCCGGAGACTCTGACGGAGAATGCTGACAATCGAATAACGATTGCGAGATGAACCCACCATTATATATTATACATGCTCGGAGGGAGGAGGAACTGGATAGGAAGAAACGGTAGATGGCCGAATTTACATGTGAACGAGCCCCTACACTGGTGGAGAGAGAAAACAGGAGTGCTCCCCGTGCCGTGGATTGAAATTGTGAGGGAGTGGTCATCTGGAAGATGACACCGATATCATCCTCGTGAGGACAAGAACCATCAGAAATTTCCCCAAAAGTACATTTTAATATCTTGCTGTCCTCTAACGAGCTCTTGTGAGAGTGTTCGTTGGATGTGCAAATCGGTAACCAGAAAGTTGTGGCACGATTATCAACTTGATGGTTTTATCGGCTGACTTTTAAAGCTGTAAAGCTAAGCGATGGGATATGCATCATTCGGATTCCAGCCACATTTGCAGGTTTCATCCTCTGAGATTGCCACTGCTCACCAACTAACTATATTTGCAGATTCCTGGAGCACAATCTCCCTTGAATCACTTGTTACCTTAATGCTGTCCGCCAATGTCAACGGATCGACAGCAAACTTTAGATCCTAATGTTCGTCAAATGAATAAGTCAAAGCGAGTTTGTCGCAGAGAATTAGTTATGCTCTTGACCAACGACAGAGCTCGCTCGTCGCTGTAACCACCAGGAGCCACGGCAGGCGGTAACGAGAAGAGCAAAAGCGTCCCTCTTCATAAATCTAGGAAATGGGAGGCGAGAACGACAGCAGCCACGAGTGCGGCTTTGTCAGGGAGCAACTTTTTATAGAAGTCGAGCGTGCGAGAGCCCGTGCTTTCGAAAGTTCGGTGCTTTCCCTTCGAGAGCAGGAGCGGGACCAAGTCGAAATGTGCAGTCGGCTCTGCCTCTGGCAGTGGAAAGGGGTGCAAGGCCCATCCATCCATGGTTGACTGCAGTGGCCTCGCGATACAAGGGACGCCATCCTCCAGATGCTGTCTTGTAGCAAGGGCCGAGGGGCCCCTGAGCTCACAGTATCGAGAGCTTTTGAATATAGCTACTCAGCGCAGCCACTGCGATTCCCCCGTAGAGCGGAGATGTCTGTCAGTGCTGCGTTGATAGTTGATACTGCATTTATAGTGAACCCACCAACATCTCAAGGATAGCTGAGCTAATGCCCTGCTCATTGACTTGTATTTATACCAGGCTCCTCCGTCTATGTAAATCATCCCGACCCAGCAGTTCCTATCACTCTCTCCGCTCAAACCACTCCACCGCTCGGCCCAGAGGCGTGGCCTATAGCACCCCGGCACTCCCCAACCGGAATGTTACTGCTCGAAGCTTGGACTAATAACTAGAAGCCTAGGCTCCCTGTTCGGCACACAGCACTGCATTGCACTGCCTCGGGCACGTTGGGGGAGGGAAGTGGGAGAGTGGGCGACATTCCACAGAAACCAAAAGTTGCGAGAGCAAGCAAGCGAGCGAGGAAGGAAGGAAGGAAGGAAGGAAGGTCGAGGACAATGGCTCGAGGAAGATCTCTTGGTGAGTTCTTGGTTGTTGCCTTAGCCTTAAGCTGGCAGCTAACTGGTATCCAGGCGCAGCTGAGGGAGGACTTCTACGCCGCCACTTGCCCCAACGCAGAGGCGATCGCCAGGCGGGCTTTCACCACGCAAATTAACCTGATCAATCTCGTCTCTGCCCCGGCCTCCATTCTCCGACTCGCATTCCACGACTGTGCTGTCGATGTGAGTCACTTGCCCCTGTGATATAGTCTCCGGAGCTTCCTCCAGCTATGGTAGAATGTTCCCTCGGAATGTCAATGCTCGATTGTGGTTAGAGTTCCTTCTTCTGTGTGTAATGACGCTGTTGGTATGACACCACCCGATCCCCTCCTGCCTTCTCGACTGATCCTCTGAGAGCTCCCGGCCACGGCGTAGAGGCACTCGTGTCCATGTCCGGGCTTGCCTGGGAACTGACCAGGTCAGGCCCACGCTTGGCCTCCTTGGAAACCAGGGTTCCTGCCTCTGCGAAAATCTGTATTAGTGAGGCAAACATTACGCCGCCCTCTCTGATTCCGAAACCAACACGTAGTGATCTTCAGAGACTGGCAACACCTTCTGTGAGTCGTGGGAGATAGTTCTGAAAGCTCACCCCCTAGCCTCGCACTTCAATGGCTTGCAGGGATGCGAGGCTTCTATCATGCTCAACTCTGACGGCGGCGCCATCACGGACGAGAAGGACAGCGAGAGGAACCTCGGAATCGGTAACTTGAACGTCATCACATCCATGAAGGCCGCCCTGGACAACGCTTGCGGTGCCGGTATCGTCTCTTGCGCAGATGTCATCGCAATGGCAGGACGCGAAGCTGTGAACTTTGTGAGTTGACCAATGATGGACTGATTCGTCGCTTTTTGTGAGCATCCTGATGCTCATCCCATCCTCAGTCTCCATCACGTAGGGGCTTTGTGAACTAATTATCTGACCACGCACGCGCTCGTCCTGACCTTGCGAACTTCTGTCTCAGGCCGGAGGACCCCAATTCAGCATTCAGCTCGGCCGTAGAGATGGTCTGGGAGCCAGAACTAGCGCCGCGCAGGCTCAGCTCCTCCCCGCAGACGCGACTGTGACGCAAGTGCTGAATGCCT